ATTTTCAGAAATACATATAAAAATTTGAGAAAGGGATAACTATAAATATCCCCCAACTCCAAATGCGCGGCATAGAATGTATTAATACGCGCCACATACTTAAGGTTTCGATCACAAAATTTGATGGCCATAAACTATAAGAATATGCCGGAAGCCCACAATTTTGTCAAGTTCTTGTTGAGCTCTTTTTATAATCTCTCGTTTGTTTATTTTTAATTATTGTGAAAATCATTAATTAATTATGCAATGTGAAAATGTTACTTGCTCCACTAAACAAGATTTGATAAAGTAAGTCTTCTATTCAAACTATCAAGTTACCCAATATGAACTTAACCACACATAATCAATCATATATATCTGGATTGTTCTGAAGAACATGCTATCATGAAAATCAGAGAACTGGAGAAGTAAGCCTCCCTTTTATAAAAGGTTAACAATCGCTTTTACATAGCCACATAATCCAAAAATTTTGACACTAAAACACCAAATTTGGTGTAGTTTCATCACCAAATATAGTGTTATGGTTGGAGTTGCTCTAAGTGCAGAGGAATGGTGTTTGCAATACGGAGCCATCATAATCAATAATTATAGTAGTAGGGCATAAAATTATTTAGACTCATTCCAAACGAATTGAAAATTTCAGAAAACGTACATTTTAAGAATCCAAAAAGAGGAAATTTTAAAGTGAGAAAGTAAGAATTTTGAAGATAAACCAAAATAGTAGTTCAAGAAAACAGTTGTGATTGTCATGGTTTATCATGAATCATGCTTATAATTAGAGATTCTAATTGTTTGTAATAACAAAGGAGAAAAACTCAAATCTTCTAATCATTCATACGAGTTTAGAATGTAAAGAGAATACTCTTAACTTGCTCAGATCTCACTTGCTAAACCATAACACTGTTTTTAGAGGGTTGTTGATGTTCTCTTTGTTGATCCACACACTGGTTTTGATTCTGGTATCTGAAACTCTTTCGCCCTTAAGATCCTAGCTTTTCAAGAACGTTCCCATTCTCTTTTTAAATGGTTTTATGATTCCAACTCTGGTGTTTGTTGTGGTATTGGGAGGGAAAAGGTTGGGTGCATCCATAAATCTGCGGTTGGATTCAGCTTCTTTGCATCATGGTATGTTTGCTCTGTAGTGAAACTTTGGGTTTGATTTTCTTCGCTTTCCTCTTCAGCAATGGCGTCAAGAAACATCACACTACTGTATATCTTCAAAATTTAACGAAAGTCGTAATGTAACGAAGCAGCAAATATTTCTCAACAAAGCTTCATCACAGCAGCAATTTCAACAAGAATTACACATATATGATTTGTGTACCTGCTTATAGCATTTCAAGATCTTCAAACCAAAG